CTTTTAAAACAACCGTATCGCCAGACAAGAACATTAGATGGCTCTGAAAAACCCAACATTATTTTTAATGAGAATGGCTGTGTCCAAAATCACTCCATATTTACTTTTTTAGGCACTACATTTACTCTCTGCAAACTGATGGATGAATTCACAAAGGATGGATTGCAGCCACTGATAGCGCTGTGAATTTTGCATCACTTGCAACTGCTGTCTGGTTCATCTCGGGGTTTACAGATTTTGTGCTAATGATATTTCACCACAAGCTGCAGATCCTGACCAACAAGGTGCTGGTGTTTTACAACGTAGTCCTTCAGACTTTTGCTCTTCAGTCACCACTAACTCTCCAAAGACACTAATTTCATTGTAACTATGTTGTGTGTGGATATTAGCACTAACTATTGTGAACTGGACTTTTTGTTACAGTGAGGCTCATTTGCATAGAAGGGCCACTTTTGCATCAAATATATTTATATTACTTATATTAAATACCAGCAGATAGCACAGGAGCATCAAGATTCTATTAGCTTCACAGTGTGGTTAGGAAGCAGTTCACCTGTTGCGGGTGCTTTGAGAATTTCAGTTCTTTGTGTCTTATGTGTGCAGATTTAGTGGCTGCAAAAGCCACACAATCTTCTTGTGAAATAGCCCAACAGTGTGCAAATCCAAATTTCCAACAATAAAATGTAAAAAGTAGCATCCATGTTATTTACACTGCTTTCTGGCAACAGTGATTTAATGCAGAGGGTATTGTTTTATACATGCAAAAATGTACATTGTATGACTCTACAGCTGTCAGTGATGATGCTAAATATGATGATTGCTATATTAACAATAGATCAAATGACCCTGTGTAGTGGAAAGGTGTCCCATGGAGAATTATAACCTAATGCTGTGAGGAGTTTTAGCATCTTTCAGCTCATTGTTTTGGATTTTATGGCCAGTAGCTCTGCTCAGTACCAAACACCAGACAGACAGACGGACAAAATTAGCAACTAGCTAGTGGACATAGTGAAGCATTTAGCAGCTAAAAAGCCAGATATTTTTCTCAGGAGATGGTGGAGACCAAAACAGAGCAAAAAAAAAAACATTTATTATGTGACCAGCAAACACAAATCACAATAAATGCCAATGTTGTTCTGTGTCTGCTGGATGTGTAAATACAGTAGGCAACAGTTTGCAAACATGTTTGCCACTTTTAAGGTGATATGTCCATTTCATGTTTACAGCTTGTTATGTTGCCCCTAAGTGGCAAAAAAACAATTCATTAATGCAGGTTTAAGGATGATCAGTATTTAATGTGGCAGATGTTACTCTCACAGCCTTGTCTTTAGCTCTCCTGTTGTATTTTCTTGCTCTGCCTACAGCGATATTCTGACATTTTTTTGTATGTGCACCAGTAACTTCCCCACGTTATTTAGAAAGAATGTGCATGAAAGAAATTAAAATTTTCCCGCTGAATGTAATGAGCAATGATTTGGTTAATGGGAATCGTACATCTGATTACATTTCTTGTTTTATTGTGATGCTGATTTAGCAGCCAGCACCAGCAATGAAAACCCAAATGAAAACTCAGACAGACAAGATCTTGCTATTCTCTGTAGCTACTGCCATTGTTAAGTAAAATCAGAATCTAACTAGCTTTCTTATATCAGTTCAAAACTGCCTCAGAAGCCCCATTTATGTTTTCCAAACACACAACTGGCAGTGATTGCATGAGGGAGAGTCTGCGTAGGGAAGAAACACACACGCAAACATGTATACAGGGAGATTAACTCAACGCTTTGCCAATATTGTTTCAACTGTGACGTTAATAGAGCAAAGTGAGGTGAAAATTTAATTGAAATTGAAAGAGAGAGGGAGGGAGAGACAAAGAGAAGAGATGAGTAATGATAGAAGAAAAACAGGGCAGAGACTGCAGTCATACAGTATTTGTCACTGTGTTTGTGTGCGTGTGTGTGTGTGTGTGTGTGTGTTGTGTGTGTGTGTGTGTGCGTGTGCGTGTGCGTGTGTGTGTGTGTTGCCTCAGGAACAGTTGATGGATTTGCTGCTTGACTGCTCACACAGATTGGTGCCTGCTGTGATGGCAGCCTTGAACTGAAATTACATGCACACTCCACACACACACACATACACACACAAAGAGAACTACACATAATTGCAATTTCTGTGTGTGCGAGTGCGTGTGTGTAAGTCGGGACAAGCGGGTGTGTTGCCTCCAGGAGGCCATTTCAAAGCACCATGGAAGGATGGATGAACGCGAGGCCAACCAAAGCACCAGAGAGGATGAGACAATTGAACAGGTTCAAAGCACTGTGTTTATGCGTTTATTAATAGCCGTTTATTATATTCGGTGTCATTCTTATTGAATCAGTGACAGGGTGGCTGGCTTCCCCAATAATTATCCTTTTTTTTTAAATTGGTGAAATGAGACAAAAACACAACAGAACAGATAAACAAAGATTAATTTAAACAGCTTAGGGAGAGTTCTGTTTTACTTGAGAGTTTGATGATACGTTCTGTTAATTGAGGCAGTTGGAGTAAATTAGGAATTATCTTGATGTTGTTTTTGATAACAATGGAGATAATTCCCGCTCCACACCTCTAAATCAAGTCCACAGATGAGATTAATGTGTTGTCTTTAAATTTTTGGTGAGGATGTGTGTTTTGTTCCAGTGGGTTGCAGTGTAGAGGAGATGGTCTAGGTAAGATATGCCAACTAAAGATGAGATGAGCATCCAACTGCACCACCTGAGGAATTTCATCTCTGGAAATAACAATAGATACTGCAGGAGTAAGATACTATGTGTTATACACCAACCGCAAAACGGTGTTATTAAAAAATGATTGCTGGAACTAACAAATTGATTAGTTGCTGAAATTCAGAACAGTGAGGTCCCCTGCTATGTGAGGCAATTCTTTAATATGAAAGTATAAGTAAGATCTGTAAAAGTATACTTTTTAAAATTTAACCACAACATGCAGTGAACAGACATTACCCAAGATGACTAGTATACCCAACAGGTCAGTACTCAGCTTTTCTAATTTAGAAGACATAAACAAACTTGCACCAAAAACAACACAGCGGGTACCAGTTGGTTCAAATGGAAATATGAGCAAAAGCTAAACAAAGTATAGCAAATATATAACTATAGAGCATACACCACCAAAACAGCAGCTGTACTGAGACTGTACAAGCATTACTCTGCACCAGACATTCATCATCAATGTATCAGTAATACTTGTTCAGTACCACGATACAGGAATGGCAGTCAAACATTTCAACTCATTTAAACTACACCCATAGGGAAGCCACAGTCTTGAAACCAAAGCCACAAGACATAACAGAGGCAAGGGAGGAAGCCAAGTCCCAGCAGGTGCCTTAAATAACCCTGACACTGATTGAGACTAACTGGCAGGATGAGTCAGTGAAGATGACAGGACCTCATTTAACAGCAGTGAAGAAAACATGCTCCCTTCCACACATGCAAGTTTCATTTTGAAGTTATTAATTTTAAGAAATTATAATGTTTTTTAAGCAGTTGTAATATTTGACATTTGTACCTGTGAAAAAATCATCTTGAAAATTTAGAGGGGACCTATCATGCATTTCCGTATTTTGTGTTGTATATAAAGTGTAACAGTGAAGGATGTTTACATAATTATGGCCGAACTTTCAAATAACAATGTAGTATAATATCTAATCATGTGTTTACAGTAAATTTCCTCTGAGCATCCCCGTGTTTACAGTGTCTTTCTAGTCTGACTACAGTATGACATAGTGTGCCAAATTTCATTATATGTTCATCTGCTTCAGGCATGCTACTTCAAATATTTATATTACTTAACCTAGCCTGCTACTGTACATAAATGAAGCTACATGCTATTGTTGGGGAAACATGCTTCTTATGTTGTTAATTTCTTCCCAGTTTCAGATCTTATTCCTGCTGGAACATGTCCGCTTGTGTTTAAAAGCTTTTATTTGTGATTTTCACTGTAAAAAGTGCAGCTATACTCCGTTAGTCATGGCCACAGCTGGAATGATGGTGCAGAGACACCAAGATTCGGAAGACTGACCAAATATAGCACACTGGGCTTTTTAATGAGGGGGCTTAAAGTGAAAGGTGCTAAAACAGCAACTCAGACAGAGGGTGATACAGGTGTTTCACCACAAACAGTATGAGGCATATGAAGTGTTTTTTGACCATTAAAGCATGTAAACATGTTCTAGCAGAAACCTTAAATTCAAGTATGAACCTGAAAATGAGCATAATAGGTCCTCTTTAATGTTTTGGGGGAAACATAAGATGCACATAACAAGGTATTGTAACCAATTTTCTAAATCATAGTGAAGAAAGTAGAGTCCTTTACAAAAGTGAAATTATAAAATTACATGATTCCATTTAGTTGTAAAAGTTTTGGAACCAATTAAAGGGGAAATTGAGTTGTGGTAAAAAAAATTTCATATGAAAGGTTTTCACCAGCAGTAGTGTGGCTTGAACAACTTGGTGTTGGCAGTGGGTGTTCCAAAATAATACATAGTGCATATTTAGACCTGTTGATGGTGTGTTCTGTGAATTGTGGTGGTATATTCTGAGAGTGTAGGTGGTTAATTGCTTGCTGTAGTAAATTTCTCATCCTTGAAGATAAATCAAAACGTTATCTGCATATAGTTGAATCTTGTGTTCTGTAGAGTGACTTTCTTTCTTCTCTCAGTGCTGTCAGATAGAGCAGACAGTTCATTTAAGATATCAAGTACCAAGGGAGATAGTAGGTATCTCTCTATGGTCCTGCTGTTAAGTGTGAAAGTAAATGTAATACTGTTAGTAGTGACGATGACCTAATGAAATTATGACTGTTTCGTTACAGTGCGACATGTTGATTCAGTTCCAAAGTTCTCTTATGTTACAGATTCTAACAGTTGGAATGACTTATTTAATGTTATAGTGCATAACTAACACAAAGGTTCTCTTTCTTTCCTTCTTTGTTTCTTCCTTCTGTAGCGGAGCATCAGGGAGCAGCAGTGATTCAGAGAGCAGCTCAGAGTCGGACACAGACGAATCAGAGAGCAGCTCCAGTGACAGCGAGTATAATCAGGCCTCCCGCACACACACTCCAGAGGTAGGATGACAAGTGTTACTCTGTCAACTCACACAGTGGATAACATGAGTTTATTGATGAAATGTATGAAATGGGTAAATATACTAATTTGTTTTATTTTCATGTGAAGAAACAAGCAAATATAATGTTTTGTGTGAGAAACAATTGTGTAACAAATTCCAACATCCCTAATGTTAATACAGTATTCAGAATTATGTTTCATATGTTGTGACACATGTTTAAACATTTGTTCTGAACATACTGGAATATTTCTATCATGTGTATAGATTTTATTGTCAAGCAGCTGTCACACTGGTACATCACATGACAAACATTTAGCATATTATTATAAACCTTAATTTACAGATAATTTCTACTGTTCAATAAGCAGTCAGTACAGTTGCCACCTACATATTTCTAGCCCTGGATTGGAGACAGCCAGTCATTACTGGAGTTATGTTTTGTTCATGCTTGGTGGTTGCTACTTCCCTTTTTTCACTTAATGCAGAGATAACATTAGCTTTTGTTACAGAAATCTCGGTCATTAAGCAATCGTTCAGCAACTGGCAGTAAAAGATACAGACAATGTCATGTTTGTCTCCAGGTTTGACAAGTGCCTCCAATTTTGTTTACATTCCATAAAGAGACATGTGCACTTTCACTGGCTTTCATTATTCTTCCTGATTCACCACTGTTTACTTCACAGTGTTCCTGACTGTGACCATACATTAAACGGTCTCTTCCCACAGTCTCTGTGTGGTGTTCTGAAAGTCATAAAACTCGGACTGCACAGAGATGAATTGTAACATTATTTATCACATTATTTTAATGGCTCAACGTCACTTGGTTTCATAAGCTCATACAGAGAGAGAGAGAGAGAGAGAGAGAGAGAGAGAGAGAGAGAGAGAGAGAGAGAGACATGCAGAGAAATAGAAAGACAAGCACGTAGAAGCATCTAACACATAGGCAATGGTACGTTAAAGACAAAATCCTTTGTAAAGCATCACAGGAGTTCACATCTGTAACTTCCCTTTTTTTTTTTTCAGATCAAATAAAATTTAGCAGTGGCACTATGGATAAAACCATCCTAATCAAATGCAGGTGGTGACATCTGATATATTTATCATTTCTGTAATGTTGTGTTCTCCCCTATAGCCTGAGCCACCCTCTGCCAACAAGTGGCAGCTGGACAGCTGGTTGAATAAGGTCCAAGCTCAAACCAAACCCCTTGTTCCCCCACAGCAAGAGCATGGCACAGGTTGGTTACATCCGTTACATCATACATATGAAGAGAAAAAAATCTGATTTGATCTGGAATATTTAATCTGGTCCAATGGTCCTCTGCCCTCTACCCAGGCTCCATCACCCAGGGTCCAGGGACTTTCTCTCCAGGGAGTGAAGCACCAGGAGTGGGTACGGCTGCTAAGACCAAGCCCTGCGTATCCAACAGCACCCCTGCCCCAGCTGCACCAACAGTGGAACACAAGGACACAAGGGGAGCCTTCTGGTAGGAGCTACAAGTGTAGAAATTAATATGGAAATTTGCCAAAGTAACTTATCAAATGACATCTGTGGAGTGAATTAATGAATGAATGAATGACACGCTGACAGAAGGATGAACAAATTGTGGGAAACAACTGACAAAAATGTGACTCTAACCATAAAATAAAAACCAATCCCTGCTTCCTGCAGCCCAGGCAGAGAGAAGGCCAAGGCCAAGCTCAGCCAGAAGGCCTCAGGGGAGAGCCAGAGGTCAAAGATGAGGTTGTCACCGGGGCTGTTGTCAGGGCCAGAGGTCACGACCCCGAGGAGGAACACCACGGGGAAGAAACAGCCCAGACGGACAGAGAGGTCAAACAGTGTGGAGGATAATCAGAACCAGACATGGAGCAGAACAAACCAGCATAGGTGAGGACAAGAGTACAAGACCCCTCCTTAACATTTTTGCTAATTTGAACGTGTTCATACAACCACACATACACCATCAGTAAGTAGTTACATCACAAAGAATGACTCACTCACTACTTATATTAAATGTAAATTTATTAGCAATCATTAGTGAATTTTGGCAATCTTTGATAAAACTGAAATATTTGACTAAATGACCAGAATTCATGAATTCATCTTTTTTTTTTACTGTAACAGTAAGTTGAAATTTTATAGGTGGCAGGTCTAAATGTGTATGGGGAGGTCATTTGGATTTAACTCTAGCAAGCTTTTTAAGCAGTGTGAGGCTTTTTTATGAGACGCAGAGGACCGCTGTACCAGACGTTGGCTGCACAGTCAGAGTTACATCAATACAACAGTTAGTCCTGACCATTTAATTTCACTGGACAAGAGGCATTCTGTGAGTGCTGATGCATCCTTTGGGCATTTAACTATGCATGTATCACTCTGCTCTACAGGTGTTCTAAACCATTTGCCCATAATTAGCCTACATTAATGGCCATTGTAATGAATTTTGCAGCGCACAGATGAACATATCTCAACAAATAACATTTGAGTTAAATTATTAATGACCATCAGAAGAGAATGACGTGAAGGAAAGAAGTGTTGATAGTTCACTGCAAACATCCAGGTGTGCTCATATGACATCAGCCAATGTCACAACATACTGACAAATGGACTGACAGTGATCACAGCAGTGCTGATATTCAGTATAACAACACTCCCTCTTGTGTAATATTGCTTAATTGAACTCAAGTCCTTTCCTGGATGACTACAGTAATTTTATCTTTTAGTGCTCTCAGTGCCATGGCCTCTTCCTAGAGCTTATTGTCTAAAACGTAACTAAAAATTCAGGATGTTTCCTCAGTTTCATTCAGTATCCAAAACAAATGACCTCAGTTTTCCAAATCCAAACATATTCTCTCCTTAAGTCTTATCGTTATCAGTCTTACAGTTTTATCATTTCAGCATTGTCAAGACTTTAAAGAATTCATTTATAATATATAATACAAAAAGTAATGGCCCCAGGACACTCCCCTGGGAGATGCAGCAAGTCATGGATTTAAGGCTAAAATGCCTGATAATGAACTTTTTAGTGCCTGTTTTTTGATGGCTGCTTTACTGTAACCCATGGCTCTTAATTTATACAGGTAAGTTCTGTTCAGTAAAGATCTTTGTTGTGCTTGTGTGCATCTGAGTGAATGAGCAGGCAAATTATGTAATGATCATGTAGGTCCTAACTAACTGATGGAAATGCAAGTTCCCTTACTCAAATAATAATAATAATAATAATAATAATAATAATAACAACTATACTGAGTATTCTAACTTTGATGTGACTTGTTATTGGTAAAATTATCACAATTACTATTAAGGCAACACTGTCACTTAGTATGGAGAGCTTACAGAGGCTCCAGTGGATCACTGAGCTTCTTGGCAGTTAGCCACCGAACACTGTCACTCCCACATCTGTTGTGAAAAATGCTCAGATTGAGTAGATGCCGTGCCAAACTGGCTGCTCAGCTTGATGTTAGGCTAATTGGAAGAAAAACACAGACTTCCTAGCTTTGTTTCTTTATTCTTTTCTCCCTCAACCACTTCCTCCCTTCCCCTTTCCATTTTTAAGATTTCCACATTCAAACAAGTTCGGCTGAATTCATGCTGTTTTCAATTATTTCATGCTGTCTTATATTTTTTTCATTTTAACACACATTCACCCCCTGCAGCTGGCCAAGGCAAGCATTATCTTCTACTGTTTGTTAGTGTAATACTGCATGACAGCAGCAGTGCCTTGCTCAAGGGTGAATCTAATACGGATTGTGACGCTTCATCTTATTGTGCCCCCCCCCCCCCCCCCCCCCCCCCCCCCGTAGCCCCGCAGCTAGGGAGAAGGACCTGTTGCCTCCCCCCTCCCTGGAGCTTCAGAACCCCCTGAGGCCACGAAGCAAACCCCCCAGTGGGAAAACAGCCCCCAGGAAAGAACCTCGCAGTGCTACCAACTCAAACAACAACACAGTTACTCCACCAGCAGCGCTACAGCAAGCCCCCGTGCCAATCCCTGCTGTAAGTGTAAACCAGGTTAGTTTCTGGGAGTTGATTACACACGTGTGTGTTTGTGGGGTTGTAGAAAGTTCTCCATATTTCTTCTCAGTGACGATCTTAAAGGGATACTTGATGGATTTACAACCAGCTTTGTATCATAACAATTTGGGTAGTACATGTAAATGAACTGTTGTATACTTCTCTCCATCTTACCAACATCCAGATTTCCCTGCTCAAATCAAACTGTACTTCAGCATTTTTTGTATGCCCGCCACCACGGACACAAAGAGTATAGCAGCGAATTGAGACAGAGAGAGACCCCTCCCTCTCTTTCTCAAAGTCAGAACAAACTCACATCAAACGGTAAAACTAAGAAGTACTGATCAAATATAAAGATTCTGTTACTGCGTTGCCTGTTTCTCACCTAAAATGTTTTCAGAAACATATTTTAACTCACTGTTTAACTGTTATTGGTGGGGTTTTAGACAGTTTATCCACATTTCTTCTCAGTGATGGTCTTAAAGGGACACTTTGCAGATTTTCAACCTGCTTTGTATCATAACAATGTGGGAATTATTTTTAAATGAACCGTGTTAAACTTCCCTCCATCTAGGCAACACCCAGAGTCTTTGCTTATTGCCAGCGAAAGTCAGCCCAATGGCGCATTTCGCAGTATTTAGCAGATTTTTACCTCCCTCCACAGACACAAAGAGTATAGAAGTGGATCAAGAGACCTGCCCCTCTCTGTCTCTCAAACTCAGACCAAACTCATCAAGCTGTCAAACTAAGCAGTGCTGATCAAATATAAACAAAGATTCTGTTACTGCGTCGCCTATTTCTCAATGAAAATGTTTTCAGAAACATATTTAAGTGCATTGTTTAACTGTAAATCAAGATTGTTTAACACCAGCTGGCCACCATATTGTTTTGAGCCGGCTAAACCCAACTCACTTTACATCACCCATCAGAGTGTTTATTGGTCCGTTGCAGCACAGTGCATTGTGGTAGTTGTAGGTTTTCCACCTCTTGAGAAAAAGCAGATGCCACAGCCCTTTTTCTCTGTGTTCTCTGGACATGTCAGGGGCGAAGCAAATGCTGGATCCTATGCATTAGCAGTCTCTGTGGGCCCCTCTCCTCTCTTGATCCATGTCTCTCAGGTTTTTGGTGCCATTGGTAAAAGTATTTGCATCTTTTCACTGCATAGACAGCCCACTTTTCTGAGAAGATAATCTTTCCAGAGGTCAAATATTTCTTCAGTGGTTGCTTGTAATAATATTAATATCTCAAAGTTAATCCATTCATTATTTATGACTGCTAGAATGCTAATCCAGCAATCCCTTTTTTATTCAAATGACTTTCTCAAGTAAGAAGTGCATGACACAAGTATCTATTTTTTTAATACCTTTATACCTTCCTGACATTTCACCATAGTATGAGGGTATTTCTGTTTTACCAAAAAAAAAAAAAAAAAAAAAAAAAGTGTAAAAGCTGAGTGCTGGTGGAAGTCATTGTAGTTAACTGACTTCTATACCATAATAGTGTGATACTACCCAAGCGAAGACACAAGCACATTGGAGCATTCACCTGTCACTTATCAACATCTGGAATATGTGAAGGCACAGTTTAAAAGTAAGTGCTGCACACATGTAACACTGTCCATGTATCCAGTAATGATCACTTCATCCTTATTGTCTCTGGATGATTTGTCAGAGCCATAAAATTCCACAGGGTAAAAACTGTATTATTACGCGACTATTATGGCTCAACACTGACTGGTTTTTATCGAAATATGGGACGTAAGAGGGAGTCATAGAGATAGAACTGAATCATCGACCGTCGTCTTAACCTATAATGAGTGAACACTGTGTGGTTTTATGAAGATTAGGTAGTTTCAAGAAGAGAAAGAAAGAAAATCAATTACTGTAAACAGACTTTACGTAACATAGACAGATAGAAAAGGACAGGAATGAAGGTTACATAACAATTATACCAGAAAATGGCTACAGAAGAGGAAAATATCCCTTTACTTTTATATAAAAGAGAAGGTGGAGTTTTTCTAAATAAAATGAATTCCATGACACCAAATTCAAATCAAAACATCAATAGGTCAAACTGTCAATGTCATCAGCAAAGAATCAACCAGATGTTGTTAGTGATTGTTTGTTAATGAGTCCATGATCATTAAAAACCTTGTAAATGTTGATCATATGTAACTTGAGACAAAAATCCAGTGAAGTAAAGGTTGACATACAAGAGAGGTGAACATACACCCTCATCTTTGGAAGAACAAAAGAACTCTATAATTTATTTTAAGATGTGCCATGTTTTGATCTTAGTTGATCTTTATGACACCGGTGCTTCACATCATATTTGTTTGCTTTGAAACACAAATTTCCTCTCAGTTTTTATGCCGTCATTCCTCAGAGACAACATTCAATTAACAAATTTACATAGAGCCATGGAATTAATGAAAACTGCATTTTCACATCAACAACTAGCAAACAGCAGCTCATCTCTCCCTAGACGAGGCTTACAAAAGTGACCTGAGAGTGCCTGCCTGACTCTGACATCTGCCACCTCTTCAGCAGCAGACTGCAGTTGAATCAGCCTGACAGCTAATCACAGTTCCAGACATAGAATTCATTGTTTTATCACTATTTATGAATTTACCAACAGGACAGGAGAGCGGTTCCACTTATCCCACTAAGAGGCTTTACCCCACCTACTGCGTGTGACTTTAACCTCCTGTGACCCTGCATCCTTATACAAGGACATTGCGTTTTAGGATTGCTGCACCTTATACTTCATTCTGCTTAAATTGGACCTGTTGTCCTCGTTCCCGGACGCTTTTCTGTGCCATCTAGTGGTAGCAAGAGCATAATACACTAATCCATGTAAAAAAAAAGTAACATGGCGGCCATCTCTGCAAAGTCAGTCTACAAGCAATTCTAACACAAAATTGGACAAGGTAAAAAGCTGATCAATTTTATTATTAAAACTTGTTTATTTATGCTTAATAATGGTTGTTGTTTGATATGGCAACAAATTTGACCATATTTAGCAATAGTAACAACCTAAGACCCTGTTAATTAGGGAGTACTCATTCGAGGATGTTAGGACAATCAGGTGTGACAGATTTCCCCTACAGACAAAAAAGACATTCCTAGCTTGGAGTAGTGGGGAAAATTCATATTCATATTCTTAAAATGAACAATTTTAAACAGTTTAAACTTGAATATTGTCCCCTAACCCATAGAGTTACAAAACATTAAACAAATGTTGCATCGTTTGCAATTTTGTTTTTGCATAACAATGTTCAGGCATTAAGGTAATCAGTGTTATACTTAATTACACACTTGTGACTATTAAAAATAAACCCACTGTCCCTATCTGAGGACATCTTTTTTTCCAAAATCTACTTGCTGTTGAAAGACAGTGCTTAGCTTTTTATTTATTTACTGATAAGTAAATAAAAGGTAATTTTTACCTTTTCATCCCAAATAGCTAGGAGGCATTTAAAATGCATTCCAAACAAAAGCTGAGTCTCAGGAGGTTTAAGGTGCATTACTTGAGGCTAGATGGGAAAAACACTGATTATTCGGTTTTGAGGTTAATTCTCAAGGGCTGTCATTTCACCTTCATTATATTATGTACATACAGAGGTGCTTAGATGATTTGCAGTCAACAACAACCTACTGTAACTCTACCCCTGCAGCAACTGGAAAAAAAACCCATTTTGCCCAAACCTGACATAAAAATCAAGTGCGGTGCTAACATCTGCAACCTGTGCTGTGGGCACTGTCACGACACTTGATCCTCTGCCAGCCTTAGCTGTGCAGAACAGCTTGCAGGACAGCTAATGTCAGTGAGAAGAGAAGAACTTTCCAGAAAACATGGCTTAGGACTTCTATTGAAGAAAGGAAAAGCTTTTGCCAGCAGTGTGGAGACACAGAATACAGGGGACAGTTTTTCTTTTCTTTTTTAACAAAACACAAAATGGCGTTTATTGAAAATGGATTTTGCAGATGGCAACATGTATTGGAAGGATTCCAAAAGTTTGAGAAAACTGCCTCGCGTCTGCCAAGCGAGTGGGTTTTACTCGAAATGGGGAACATTAGTGGGGGTTTTTCTTAGCTGCATCTACCTCTGTAGTTGCTTTCTCATGTTGATGTTGCACACGCAGCACTGCGTCTCACTCTTTTTTGTTTCAAGCTACAGTCATTGATCATTTCACATCTAAAACCAAGAATTTAACATATGAGGGACAATTTTGATTGGATCCAAAAAAGGTCAGAGATGCATGTGTAACTCTTCAAAGCTGTCAAGAAAATAAACTAAGCAGATTTAGGCTGGTTCAGCTTGCTGGCACACATCATTCATACAAGGAGGACGTCAGGGTGCTGAATTGATTGTGCACAAACAGCTATGAGACAAATTCTTCACTTACAGGATAAGGCTGGATGATATTCTATATTTTTTTAAAGATTATTTGTGGGCTTTTTGCCTTTAACAAACAACACAGTGAAATGGGGTGAGAGAGAGAGTGGCGGTTGACATGCAGCAAAGGGTTGCAAGCTGGAGTCGAACCTGTGACCGCTGCAGCGAGGCATCGCCTCTATACATGGGGCACCGGCACTATCCACTACACTACCAATGCCCCATATATTTTTCTTTTTATCAATAAATCTTGTCAAAAGACAAAAAAAACCAATGAATCGATCCTACTAAAGAGTATTCTCTATGTTGCCAAAGCCTTATGTATCTTATTCTTATGAGCAATAGAACTTTGTTGTTTAAAAAAATCACTGCAGAAGTACTGTATTTTATTGCTGCCATCAAATAGGAGAAACTTTGAGTGGATACTGAATGATTTGAGATAACGATAAACTGTCTATTTTGAAATTCTGTTGTTAAATCTGAGAAAGAATTCAGAATCAGAAATGTGAAATAAATCATTTAATTTGCATGTGACAAACATCAGACTGCCTGTGCTCAGTTGTGTGACTCATATGCAGTGAATATCCCTGACATGCAAAATTAGACAGTCAAACATGTTTCATTTCACTTCACAGATTAGCAGAACAAGCTTGTTCTGCCTAATTTGCATGATATTATCACATGCTGTAATATATATCTTTAGCTTCACTGATTATACTTTCTGTCAGTTGCAGGTTTTTGTTTTTTCTGCAGTGGCTTTAAAATGCGTCAACTGATCGCATAAAAGTTTTTCTCTGAGATAGCAAGAGATGGAAATCACCACTTTTATTGTAGTAGTATTTTACATGTGTTTTAGTGTGCACTTTCCTGATCAGCAGCCACAGTGATTCTCATAGGGACTCATAGGTCGGTGCAGATAAATAATTAGCAGTGTCATTCAGTCATCTCAAAGCTCACTCCCTTTTGTCATTTTTGTCTTTATAACAGGACAAGAGAAAACACAGAGGTCCAAGCAACAAAATCACACCTAAGTCCAGAGAATTCATCGAAACCGATTCCTCTTCCTCCTCCTCTGAATGCCAGTCAGATTCAGAGGAAGCCATCAAAATCCCCACTCTGCCACCTCAGACAACACGCTCCGCTATTAACACACAGACTCTGTCCAACACACACATGCACACGCCTCTTCTCCCATGCCTCAGCTCTGCTGGGAGTGTGGGGACATTTGGAGGGAAGGGACTCCGAGTCAAAGATGGTAGCAATGTGACCACTAATGGTAGCAGCAGTAGTAATAGTAGCATCAGCAGTGGTAGTAATGGCAGCAGTAGTAGCTGTAACTCTCTAAGCATTAGCAACATAAGTGGTTCATTTGGCACTTCTGTTCCTGATCCTGGAGGGTTAGGAGGTCAGTGCAAAGACCCAGAGTCCCTCTCACCACCTTCCAGCATGGGTCACGAGGTGGCTCTGTCCCCCTTGCGGGAATACCAAGAGATCCAAAGTTTGTGGGTGAAAATCGACCTGAGTTTGCTCAGCAGGGTGCCTGGCCAGGGTTTGGGGGAAAGATCCAGAGTGGCAGAAAGGGACGGAAGTGAAGGGAGAGACAGAGAGAGACAGGGGGAGAGAGAGAGGATAGTGGTGGCTGAGAGAGAAAGACAGAAGCAGGCCGAGAGAGATTGGCCAGGGCTGAGAGAGAGGCAGAAGTTACCTAAAGGGGAGAAACAGGAAGAGGAAAATGAGCGATTAGTGCAGGACAGAGAGAGACAAGGTGACAGGGACAGATTAACAGAGAGAGAGAGGCAGATGGACAGAGAGGACAGAGAGAGATTGGGGCTTGGGGAGAGGGAAAGGACGACGGGGAGGGACAGAGAGAAGGTGTGCCAAGGTCTGGGGGTCCTTGACAACCCCCCTGTGCAAGAGCAGAGTAATCCCAGACTGGCAGGGAGGACGGAGAGAGGAGAGAGCGGAGGCAAACACAGGAGGCAGGCGGCTGGAAACATGGTGGTCCCGACAGAGAAACACACCAGCAAGAGCAAGAGGAAACACAAGGTGTGGCACTGCATTCTGTCTGTTTAAGTCTCTAACCATTCTCTCTTACTCCTACTCTCAACCTCCCAGTCTTTGTCACTCTCTCTCTCAAGTACAAATACTGTTCTTAGATATTGTGTGTTTTCTGTACTCTATAATCCAGTCGGACCACAGTGAGTCATCTGTCAATGGCAATAAAAAGCTGCGATTGGACAAAGACTGTCAGCTCCTCCCACCCTGCATCTCTCCAATACACAACCACAAGAACAGCTCTACAGGGTAAGTACTAATGTACATAACACACCCACCAGCTTAGCTCCCCAAAGGACTTAACAGTCAAACAAAACAATAACTTATGTTTGCATCACAATACAAAACACATCTTGTGAATCCTTGAGGCCTAGCAAGTCTGTTCAATGCATTTCCTTCCTCATAAAACATTTGCAAACTGTGGTTTTGGAATAAGTGTTTGCTTGCTAACAGTCGTCTTCTTCATTGCCTTTGTTGGCACATTGCTGCATTTCATATTAAATTACTCCACTGATTGACAGTTGACATGAAACATGAACATTCATAACATGAATCGGCATTATTGCTTCATCTGCTTGCATGAATGTTCATATACAAGAATCTACTCAAACAGGGACCCACTCAGCATGTTTTCAGGCCATGTTAGCCAATGCAGGGACAGGTATGCTCACTGTGAGTAGAGATTCACAAAGTACTCTACATTCCTATGAAAATGGCTGCATGTAGTGTTGGGCCAGTATTGAGTTTTGCCGGTCTGGTCCAGTGTATGAGCTCAAACCATCTGATTTTATACAAACAGGCTGAACCGTCATTTGTCATTATGACACTTTCTGGCAAATTAAAAAAGCAGCCTACATCAGCACCATGTGTCAATGGAGTAATGGCGCTAAATCCAACTGGTATTGCATTAGTAGTTAGCGATATGACAACGTGATTTACATAATATTATGTTGGTTTATAAATGGACTAAGGAGTCGCTACTGTCTCACTATCCGTGTGCAATTTCCTGCCAAGACAAGGCTAGCAACATGAAGAAGATAAAATTTCAGTAGGTGGGAGGAAGAAGACGCACACAGCACAGATTGTGTTTGTTTAATGGAAGGTTCATGTGTTTTTTGTAGCGACGAGACATGGCAGAGTTAGTCTTAAAGATAACTAAAACTGTACCAATATGGCAACACTTTGGATTTGAAGCTGATGAAAGAGGTGTACCAAAAACACAAATGTGGCAGTAGGTTTTTTAATGGGTTTTTGGTTAGATTCCTGAAGAAAGGTGGTCTGTGGTTAACACAAGCTTAGGAGACTTTCATGTTGTGTTCTACCACATAAAACATGTCACTAAATATCCCACTTAGAAATTTTGAAGCTTTTAAGTGTATTTAAAAAGACAGTTGCTGACATATAAGTCAGCCCTTATATCCCTTATAAGTCTATAGAACATTGTCACGCTGTACACGGCCTTGCACCCTTGTTCTGATGGCGATATTGAAGTCATGCCACCATGAAGTTGCTCGTTTATAGCCTAATGTTAGTTTTTCGCCTCTGGCCATTGCATTTAGACTTCAAAAATCATTAAAGTGGTGTTCATGTGTGAAGATTATCTTGCTGTACAAAACGTGTAAACATGTCAAATTCAATATAAAAATCCCCTTTTTGCGGGGGATACAGGGAGATGTTAACTTCCGGTCTGGCCACTATCTTTGCAGCACTTTAGCAGTTAGCAGACCAGCTTAGAGGTGCATTACCGCCACTAAGTGGATTGGAGTTGCTACACTTTTATTCATGGGCTTTCTCAGTCTCATTGTGTTCCCCTCGGGAGCAGATGCTGAGTACAGTATGATGCGTAGTGGTGAAATGTGGTATATTGGCCCAGTCCAGTGTTTGGCTGAGTATCAGACTAGTTTGAAACCCAACCCTGGCTGCATGACATGACACAGTATGAGAACTAAGTCATTTTTGTACACTGGAAATAGCTCATTTTTGCCTTTCCCCGTTCTTTCCGTAAACACCACATCCTCAGTGACTGGGACAGACACAAGTAGAGGTAATCAGACAAGTTTATTGAGTATTTTTAGGAAGGCTTAACATTTTTAATGTGTTGATGAAGTCACCGAAGAGGTGAGCTCAATCCACAGCGTGACACAGGAATGACAAACTGAATTTCAGCTTTCCATGTGAATTATTAAAAACAGACTAAGCTGGCTGTCACTATAAATAAGCCTCAACGTGACAGCTACAGAGGAAATATTTTTATAGCATCTCAGCGTTATCAAAGAGTGTACAGCTGGGAAAGGTACAAGGAAAAGAGGGGGTGACCTGGACTTGAACCCATGACATTGTGAAGCAGACGTCTAAGAGTGTCTGTGTATCATCTAAGAGGCTTTTTATGGAAGCTGTAAAGTGGATAATATGATCATCTTGCTCAGACCCATTCAGCAATTTCTGAACTGTGACTTTTGACAGTTATTATCACCCTGTTTTAATCAGAGAGGTTGTTAGACAACAGATGAATGGAAAAGATGTGTTAATAATCAAGTTTTTACCTCAGGAAAGTTTTGTTATGCCTGTGTTTGTTGAGCTTTTAAACACATGAAATTTCAATTAGGGCTATAAGTAGTCTTAAAGTTCAACTGAAATCTGAAGTCATCCCTTTGTGTGGTAAAAAAAAAATGTCCATGTGTTTTTTAAATGTATTATCGATAGTTTTATTATTATCAGAAAATATCTGAAATGCTCCCTGTCCTCTCAGCTGACTGGAGGGGCATGTCTCTGCTTTGATTAACAGCCACCTGCAGGCTGATAACGGGCAGGAGAAAGAGACGCAATGTAAACAAACTTTCTGTAGTTACGTGTCATTGGCAGATGGTGTGTTGTTGATGTTACTGAGGTGTTGAGACCACATCATTATGTAACTGAACCAAGATGACATTTGTCAAGTAAAGCCCAATTTGCACAGGATTAGTATTACCTGGGGACGTCTGGTAATTTGTAAATTATCCCCCCACGTCTGTGTTTCTTGCGGTGCATTCGCACGGGATAAGCGAAGTCTGTGTTTTACTAGAATTTACTGACATTACGGCCCGGATATGATGTCAAAGCTGTGCACATCGTAACATCCGCTGCTGAGTTGCCAACCGCCAATAAAATCTGAAGAAGAAAAAGACATCACTGTTAAACATACCATAAACCATAAACATCACTGTTAAAAGCTTATGTTAAACAACGCTTTTGTTAGGGTCTCGTTAGGTTTAGGCACAAAAACTACTTGGTTAGGTTTATGGAAAGCTTATGGTTTGTGTTAAAATGATCATTTTTAACGTGGTATGTGTTAGTCGTCATGGCAACAGTAAATAAAAAGTCAAAGCAGCAACAGGACTTCGGAACAGTGGGCAGTTGTTGTCGGGATAACGAGCCGTCAGGGCATTTGTATTAAACCTGTTGAAAGATAGAAAAATGTTCCATACCACATGCTGCTGCGCATGTCATCCATCTCAATATCTTCCGAAATTTCGCTCTTCTGATGGATCTGAGCTTGCTGTTTCTGCCAGTGGGTCTCCATACTGTGTACCGAGATGGAGAGACTCCTGCATTTGCACCTAAAATGCTGTCAAAACTGTCATTCATAATTTCCACCGCAGCGTCCATAATTCAACCAGGAAAGAGGTAGAAAAAAGGCGCGCAATAAAAACAAAAACTAAAATACCCCCCAATCACTGAGATGCAGATTCACACAGGACTAGTATTATCACGGTACGTCTGTTTTTGGCGAAATGTAGTAGGTAATTTACGGTGGAATTTTTACTTTACAAATTACAGACATGGCACATTCGCACGGGATTAAGATCACAGACATCCTCCGCAATTATTACAAATTACCAGAGGTCCCCAGGTAATACTAATCCCCATGCGAATAGGGCTTAAGTGTATAGGGAATGGAAATCGCAAAGCATTCTGATGTGGAGCCAGGAAGCTCCTTTTTTGGAAAGATAAGCATCTGTAGCTAAGGTAGCTGGTAGTCTTATTGTCTGTTATCTGTCAATCAGTCATCATCAGAAATGTAAAGGTAGATGCGAAAGACAGATACCCTTAGAAGCTCTCAACAGAAGCAAAGGAGGAAAATATTTCAAAGTTAAGTGAGTTAAAGATATCAATCCCTACAGACTTTGACAGCTTGCCACTCATTACCATTATGGCCCCTGATGTCTACCTGGTGTTTGGCGTTAGCGCCTACACCTGTCAGGAATTCAAAAACTTTAAATTATGTAAGGCCCATGTCCAGTTTACAAACAGATGGGTACAGGACTGGACAACGATAATATAACCAACGTTATGCTAACTGTATGCTAACAAAATGTAGGCTAATCATCATAGACTGTAAAAATAATGGACTTAGCCACCGTGACATCACCTATTGGTGAAGCCTTGAGTTCTGCATTTTGGCCGCTGCCATCTTTGTTTTTGGAGGCAGAAGTGACCAGGGT